AGCTCACAAATCACCCATTTCACACACAGCAGAAAGAGCAAGCCAACCTTTCCCACTAGCATAGCTGTCCATGGAAAAGCAGATACCTGCCTAATAGCCACATCTGCCAAGGTACATCTGGGCCACCCCCACCCAAGCAGGTCTTGCTCCTTGTTAAAAGGGGGTCACCTCTTCCCCAACCTCCAACATACATCTGCTTGCATCTTCTTCTCAGCCTGTCTCCTTACAGACTAGTGTTCCAAAACAGAAAAAATAGTGCTGAAGCAGCAGGTAAACATAGCAGGCATTTTTTTTTCAGTGGCACCTTTTGCTTCCTAAAGCTACTGAAACATTCCTATTTATCAAGACAGAGTAAGCTGGCTGGTGGGGCTGGGGAAAGCAGGCGGTTGCATAAATTGCCTTTCAAAACCAACAAGGTTTTTTATGTTTGGGTTTTTCTTTTTATTGGAATAGTAAAATGGGTCTTCAATAAACACTGGCATTTAACTAGAGTCATTAAAATGCCTATGACATCTGACATTCCTCAATATCTGTAAATTTATTAAAAACTAATAAATTCTGATACTGTTGGTTATCTGCAACTTGGTTTGTTTGGGTTTTCCATGTGGGTGCACTTTAATTTATGGCCTAATTAAAAAGTGAGTTTCTGTTATATTTTTAGGCTGTAGAATGCTGGATCGCAGTTGGCTAATCTCACTTGTTTGTCCAACACAAAACTACCAAGAAGCAAAGTGAAAACATATATACATATTTTTTACATAGACTGAAGGTCATATGTTACTTGCTAAGATATAACACTGTTGTCATATTTCTTCAGCAAAAAGGCTGACGAGACTTGTTTCACATCTGTCTGCATAATATAACAAACCCATGAAGAACTAGTGATGAAAAAGCTGTTTTGTTGACAATCTATTATTGTTAAATGCACCCAAACACCAAGATTTAGGCACTGCTCATTAGTGCTGTATTGTAGCTTAGCATTTTGTCTCTAAAAATACTTTGTGCCAAAATACTTTTTGAATATATTCTAGGCTGCAAGCCTTTTCCTCACAAAGAGCTACAGCCACTAGAGCCTTCTGTCATCTTAAGCAAACTTGCCTTTACCTTAACCACCAAAACCATACGGTAACATTGCCATCCACATACATTACTCCATGAGTAGTCCAACCATCCCTTTCTACAAATGCCATTTTACCTGTTCGTTTTGTGCTCTGCTAATACAATTCGGTTCACTTTCCCTTTCTTATTATGGCCAGACATTATATCAATGGCTTTCAGTTTCCATCTATGACTCCAGATTTTTTCCTACAAATCATCTCATAGTTGCTAATATTATGACTTAGTTACAGGGAGAAGGAAGGGATTTCCTACTTCCTTTCTACCTCTAACTGATACACAGATCTTCCATTTGGGTGTGCAAAAGTGAGAAGGCAAGACAGGATCAGAGGAAAGCAGTGCCTGAAGATGGGCACATGCTCTCCTTGCACAGCCACAGCCCCTCCGACAACTGCCCCAACACTCTGGCACAGGAAGTTAACGCAGCATATTCTAATAGCTCTAATGATTTCACTGAATGGTCACTTAAATACTCACTGGATTACTAACTAATAAGAGCAGGGCTTTGACCCTAATTAAAACTCTCACCTAGCAGACTCTTCTTGCAATAAATGCTTAAGCAACATTAATACAAACACCAAATACACAGTCATTCTTCACCCAGTCCACCACTGCTCTCTTGTCTGTAATTAACTTTGATCAAGCTGCCTTGTGAAATCACATCTTCAGTAAAGCTGCTGCACTAGTCTTGCATATCATTAACTATTCTGATGACCTTCACCAACAGCAAGTTAAATTGTTGCTTCTGGCTCCTACACCTTCAAATTTTTCCCAAGCTTTCCATTATTCCGACTTCTGTTACATCAGCACTACATGTACTCTGATATCGTTTCACTCTTCAGATGCCCACACTGCATTCACCTACAAGTATTAGTTATTTCATATTGCCACTTCCATAACTACCAGAATCTCCAAAAAGGACTAAAAACCTCATGTACCAGATTTGATACAACTTTAAAATAGGAAAGATCTTTGTCTTACAATTAAGAGATGAAGTAAATAATTCAATTGACTTAACTGGTATTTCGAGTATGGTGCGCTTTAGCAAATTTCTGAAAGAACGCAGAGAATCTAACCCAGCCCCCTCTCTCCATGGCAGTGCAGCTCTCCTTCCTTGAGGGAGACGTGGAGTTGCTGTTCCACTTTCAGAATAACTCTTTAATAACAATTTCAGGTTACCATGGCTGCTAGCAGTGACCAACAGAGTCTTGCTCTTCAAAATCTGTATTGTTAGAGGAACTGTCAGGATGTGTGTAAACAACTACACGCACCAGTATGTAGTTTTCTTTCTGCCTCCCATGTGACATATTCTTCAGCGAAGTCCCCGAGTATGTCATGTACCTGTTCCCAGCCTCTGATATGATCTGCCTCAGGAACCTCTACCTGACATGGCCAGCCACACAACAGAAGTAATCCTCTGCTGCCAGCTCTCTGAGTTTTCTTTAACCTCTCTCCCATAAAGATCTGAACCCACATGCATATAAAATTCACAGAGTGAAACAAAACTGAAGCAAGAGAAATAAACTTGGTCAAGAGCCAAGCTGTAAAATAAGATGTTTGCATGGCTCTATTACATTCATGGTTCTAATCCATACTTTCAGGTTGCCATCTACATGAATTAGCTTATTCCAGAGATACCTAGAGAGATTCAACCAGCAAACACATAACATCAGATATGTCTCCCAAACACTTAAATCTGGAAAAGGTGTTTGCCAATAAATGTGCTTTTATAAACTAAAGGAAATTTAATGTAATATGAATTTCACACCAATTACAAGGGGAACAATTCTCAAGCATTTTGCAAAATTAAGAAGACTTTTATATTCCATATTGACAGGTTTATTCAGGTCATAAACCTTTTAATAAAACAAAGAATAATGCATACTATAGTTAGATTAAGACAAATTCATTAACTTTGTGTATGAATATACCACACTGTTCAAATAATGAAGAGAACACATGAGTTCTAGCAAGGTCAGGATGAGAGGGAGAGCATAGAATGTCTGTTATCTACAGAATATTCATCATTGGGAATTGAATTAAGTGCATCTCATTTTCACTCTGTTAAACTCAGTTCCTACTCTGGTTGAAAACCAGCATGCTACCTAGGATAGCAACTATCCTCAAGGCAGGTATTATATCTTCATTTGACAGGTCTGGGTCAGGTAGGTCAAATCAATACTTCAGAGATCTGCCCATGTTCAAAAATGGACAATAAAGCATCACATGATATACGAATCTGGCACACAGGGAAAAGAACTCATTTAAAATGAGGAATAATGGTAAGATTAGAAACATGGATTTAACTCAAAATAAAGGGAGGAATTGAATTTCAAGAACATATTAGCTTGATATAAAAATACATACACACATTTCATATAAGAGAGTTCTACTTATCACCATTTTAAGTATGGCCCCATTTTAATCAGGATGTCAAAACACAAAGGGGAAAATATGTAACCATTTGTTTATATTGTTTCCTGTGAAAGGCTGAAAAAATCCTCAACCGTTTTCAAACACCTGAAAAGTTCCACAGACACTGACAGCAAAATAATAATTATAGATGTCATACTGTACAGTGGAATGGAAAAGGAACAAGAATATATCAGTAGGTAATCATTTTTTACCCATTCATTTCTGATCTGACAAAAAGAGACAGAAAAATACTATTGTCTAGTAGGTTACTACACAGATCCAGAAACATACAATGTATGATCTCCTGATAAGTAAGTTACTTTCCCCCTGACAGGCCAATGTTCCTCACTTCATTCTTGAAATAGGTTTTACTAGATTGATACAGAGGGTTGACCATTGTACAGGGGGGTTGTACAGGGGGGTAGTACAGGGGGGTTGTACAAGGGGGTTGTACAGGGGGGTTGTACAAGGGGGTTAGAGGAATTTGTTTAAACAAAAGGACTATCTGTTGTAAATGCCTGCTAAGCAGAACAGAGACCTCGGGTCCTGTTAATAAGCAGACGCCTGAATCTACTGATAAAGGGGAGAAGCAGAGGATTTACGGCTGGGACACTGATCAAACTCTACTGATAAAGGGGAGAAGTAGAGGATTTACGGCTGGGACACTGACCAAACTCTAAGGCCACGCATAAAGACTAAAAAGGTGAAAAGTGCAAGAAGAGGAAGACTCATTTACTTCATCTTGAAGACCCCTACCCAGAGGAGGAAGACTCACTTACTTCATCTTGAGACCCCTGCCCATGACCAGAGGGGGCACTGCGCAGGCGCAGAGGACCTTCTGGCTCATTATAATACGAAGCGGGGATAGGACATGAATATGTATAGGCGTATTGTGCAACCTTATGAATATATATAACTTTAGAGAATAAATGTACAGGGAAACAACACTGAGGTACGCATGACTTTGAGGAATTATCCCCGTGCGTCTCAGCGCTGAATAAAAAGCATACCAACTTTACAACTTTTAACGAGTTGTGGAGTCAATCCACGCATCAAGATTCTTCACTAAAGACAAACTCTAAGGAGGGTGATCCTCATAAACCAAACCAAAGCTTAAAAATATGGAACAATCACTCAAAAGCTTGTTTACAGCTTCAGTCAGCCTTTCCTCTGCTTAACTTTGAAGACAAAACTGAAGTTTGAATTACTTACAGTGTGCAGGGAGAACTTAGTTCTGCTCTACCTTTTGCTTTATAACCAGCATTTCCAGGTTTTGTATAGAGCAAAAGGTAGAAGTAACCTGTAGAAATTTATAAGATCTTGATATAAATTTCCCCTAGTTTGGGACTGCTCAGCAACTGGATTTGGTTTGGCCTTGTATCAAACAGTTTCACTGACATGTAAAAACCACTTTTTCTTATTATTTCAAAGCTTTATTTTTTCTGTACGCATATAACAAAGATTCTTACCAGTAACCTTCAATTCAACTGTCCTTCGTATAAGCTTTCCTTCAAACTTCAGTTCGCAAGTATAATTTCCTCCATCTTCTTCCTGGACCTCTTGTATTAAGAGAGTATTTCCCTTCTGAATTACAACGCTTCTCCACATTTTTGGCTTACATTCCTGCAGAAAAAAATCCATTGCCAGAATTACCCAGCTTGTACGACATAAGACAGTGTGACTGGATCACATTTTCAGTAGTATATGTAAGTAAACAACCATCTCAATGTATTTTGCTATTCCAATTCAAGTATAATTTTGGAAAGCACAAAGATCTGAAACTGGAATTAATTTGAAGATAGAAATTAAACAGAAATGTTTTTAGGGTTCAGTAATTCCTACGGTATCACATGGGCAGTGTTTAATATGTGGTGCCCTGAAGCAATGGTTGAGTATCTTCTCTTTTTCATGATGAAAAACAGCTAAGACCTCTCCTTTAGGATGCACCATTAAAATGTATCTCTGTTTGAGGGGAGTAAGGGCAACATCTGTATGAATTAGCCTGAAGGCAAACTTTACACAAAGTCTCAGGCTAGAACCATTTACCAACAGAAGAGAACAGCAAGAACAACAGCAATTTTGTGAGCAAGAGAATCCAGAAGCATGGCTTCCTTATGGTCTTGTTTTTTATAAGCTTTGATTCAGACTTTTCCTGTCACTGGGCTCTTTTTAGCATCACCCCATGTGCATCCTACGATGAGTACATGGCACTAATGGTCTGCAACTCTCAGTGACTTTGCCAGGCAGACCTCAGCTGTTATTTGGCAGATTTAGGTTCACCACTACTAATTGTGGTGTTACTGGAACAGCATTTGAGTCCTTCCGTACAGTGTGTGATGCAGTACAGAAAGAGGCTCTCCATTTCCTAATATACTGTGTCTTGCAGCCAGATCAGTCACCTTCCACGCTAATGGTATTCGTGATTAATTACCTCCTCGAATGCTCTAGTCTAAAAAGCACAGGCATAATCTGAACATTGTCTCTTTAAAATGATACCTTAAGATTATACATTTATTGTCTCTCAATAACTTTAACATCAAACCTGCTCTGCCTGCCCACAAAATCACATTCTTCTCAGTTCTCTAAAACATGCAGTACTGCCCACAGTTCTGGAAACTCTGTCAAATTCTGTACCCAGAGCACACAAAGCAACATAGGGCCCAAGTACATTTAACAGCCCTTTATTCCCTGTCTCAAGGTGGCAACATGGAAAAAGCTCACAGACTGCAACTAACAATCTTGCATCAGCGACATTCAGGCTCAGCAACTTCAGAGATTCCTGTAAATAGCCCAGACCTATGCCCCATTTTCTGCTTGACTGTAACAGCAGTGTCAGAAATACAGCAAACAAAATAGAACAAAGCTTTATTTTAAGAAAACGACTAAACAAGAAAACTTGTTGACATGCAGATATGTTGCATGACAGCAAGAGATCAGATAACACAAACATCATTTTTTCAAAGGATTCCATACACATTGCAAATCCAATGTCAGATTCTAAATTAAACAATAATAATAAAGAAATAGAAAGATGGGACTGTGAGCATGTGGCCTTGCACTTGAAAATGAAACATTTACCCGCACCCCAGTAGACCAAATTCAGTTACAATGTGGTCAGATTTCAAATTCTGATACTGAGCAGTACTACTGCAGGTAACAAGAGCGTTCAGGCTATCTTTCTGTTTCTGTTGTAAGGAAAGTAATCTTCTCTTGCATATGAATGTTACTTCACCCACGACAGAGAATGATTAGGATCCAGATCCTATCTGCTGTGTTAAGAGGAATCAGAGCTTATTTTTGTTACTAAATCACACTGACATTGCTCGAGACGCATGCAGGACACAGCTCTGAGCCAGAAAATGCCATTATATCCTTTCTGATTTGCACTCAATTTTTCAGTCCTATTTAAAGGTACATCAACCACCTACTTGGAGTAACTAAATCTGAACACTGGGCAGAAAATATGATTCAGTTCTATTCAATCCTAATTTAGAAGGAATACAATTCCCAGAATACACAAAGTAAGCGTATTTCAGATAACCACCCTTTCTTTCAGTACAGCACTGAAAAACCCTTAGATATGTTACCAGTTTTATACTGTCTATTTTTAAAAGTATGGGAGCAAAGAGATCAGAAATACATTTTCATATGCTTTATACTTTTATACACGACATATCTGCACTATGAAGGGCAACACCTTTACTACTACAGAGACTAATGATATAGCACAAACAACATTGGCGCTATTGTGGTTTTACAGGGAGGAACTGTTCTGTTGGAATGGTACCATTCACTTCCTAATTGTTTTCTTTTTGTATCTTCTTAAAACATTTCATATTAAAAATTATTTATAAGCTTTTCTTTCCCAAATTTTAGCTAATTGATTTTCTTCTACTGACTATGCAGGCTTTCTAAACATATGTTGAAAATGCCTGGTTTTCACAGGCTAGTTCAATACACAAACCTACAAGCAAAAAGGGGAGAAGCTGGGAAATCACAACAATCTGTATTTTAGGAACAAAAACAGCTGAGAAAAAAACAAGTTAAAAAAAAAAAGGGTTCATACCTAGATTTTACTGCTAGAGATCTGCTAATTTCTCTAAAAAGGGTAGTGCTCAACGGCACAACTCTGCTTGCTTAACAAATTACTTGCTCTTTCCTGATTCTGCACCATGTTTACCTGCTAGAAGAATCTGAAAACTTCTTTTTCTCGCCTAATTATTTTCCTTAGACATCTTAAATGCTTTTGGTTGGGTTGTTGTTTTTTTTCCCCAATAATTAACTTAAGCACTACTATGGTTCTTTTTGTTTTTCCCAAAATTCAAGAGGCAGCATCACATTAACTCTCTTTTTTTGTAGGGTAGATAAGAACTACCTGCCTCTCACCTGACATTTTGATTATTTTCACAGCCCTTCCTTCAACCTAGAGGAAGGAAAGAGACAGTGGGAATGGATCAAGACTCCACATTCAAGATGTAACATACCTTTTTCCTCTGCCAATTGATTTTTCATGAAACTGTTCTTACTGTTAAATCCTGTTCATTCAATCAATCTTGACTTGACACATGCATTTATTTAAAAAGAATCCTTATACTTCCTGTGAAAACTGTTCTCCCAGGCCTAACAGAGTTGTGTGTAGATCAGTGGAATTAATTGTTTCATCACTGTAATTCTGGCCAGAAGTAAAGTTCATATGACTATTGAAACAAATCCTCACAGCAAATGTTTTATTACTTCTATAGTATCCATGCAGAAATCTATTCAGGCATAATTATTTAAGAGCATGTTTAAATTACAGTTAACTCCCTGTAAATCAATGCAATTATTGGCTGAGATTCATTAATCCCTCCACACAGAGAAGCCTTTTGGAAGGCAGGGCAAGTCCTGCACATGGTGCACTCCCACCATTACTGTCCTGTCTGACAGTATTTCATCAGTCACGAGTCCAAGCTCCTCAACTACCAGCAAACTCGCAGGTTCTCCTTAACAAAAGGATTTCTCTTTTCAGCCAAATGTTTAAAGAAGGAACCTCGAGGACTTCCTTGTTTTTATATATCTACTGTTCTATTTTGCACAACTTACACTCTCTGGATGAAAAATTTCCCTGAATATTTCAGTGTAATGAAAAGGAATAGCCCCCCAGTGCCTCCAGAGCACATTTACACGAGAAGATGGCTGATTACACCTTCATGTACGTGTCAAACTCAATCACAATGGTAGAGGGAGAATACTTAAGGATCTAGTATGTTATGACTGGAAACAGATGCTTTCTTCAGAAAGCGAGGGTTGTATCCGAAGCAGAATATCACTTTATTCTTTGGGAGAAGGGACCTGCTTTTTTCTGCCTTACAGAGCATGATCTTAAGTCCCAGACTGCACTTTGTAGGGGTTACCACAGCACTCATTGTAAATTTCAAAGGATAACCTATGTACCTTCTGCATAACATTAATATGGGCATTTCACATTACTGAGCTTCCTGACTCATCCCCAGATAACACAGGTGTTGTCAAAGAACTGAACTGATAGTACATTATTGTTAATTATGGATAACGAAGTATATGTAGCAGGTTATTCCACTAATGGCTCTTCATTATCAACCTAAACTTCATAATGAAGTTGTCAACTTCAGCTGTCTCACCATTATCATCAAACCACATTCTGCTCAGTTACAGCACAGTGGTGACTTGTCAGTCAGCTGTTGTACTCCAGCCTCATGTCACGCAACCTATGTGTGCAACCCAGATAACATGCGTGGGTGTACAGAACAAAGACCTTTCTGTTCCCTTTCTTGGTCAGCACAAAGCATTGTTGATCTGGGGTTGTACATACATCTTCCTTAGAACGACTTCTGCTCCATGACAGCTAAAGATTATCCCTGACAGACTATTTCTGCAGTGTGCTCTGCAAAGAAAAGAGATCTTCAGTGATCTGGTGTTCAGTAATACCTAGGTAGGTAGGGCAAGAAACAGCTTCTCTCTTTTCTCCAAGATTTCAGACTTAACTGAATACATATATTTTATGTATGAACAGCACTGAAGATATCTACCCATATGCCAAGATAAACAGCTTCAGTGGCTGAAAGGAAAACTTTGTTTATACTAACAGTACTTTGTTTTGTACTACAGAACACGTTTTGTTACTACAAGATAGAACATGTTAGATTTCTGTAAAAAATTGAAATAGATGACTTTTCTAATTGCTCTTTCCTGATGCAACCTGCTAAGGAGGAAAAAAAAATCAGCAGTTCTGCACATGTTACTTATGTCACACAAAATAACTATCTTTAAAGAACATTATTAAGGTTGGCAAATCAAGCACTCAAAATTTAGGATTTAATTAGTTCGCATGTTTTTGCCTTCGTTACCTGAATCAAGTTTGTCCTAAACTCATTCTGCTTTTATCCCTACAGTCTAAACTCTATTTTCCACAAACCTCAAGTTGGCTCTTCCTCTTGCCCAACTATTTCTTGTCCCTTCTGATTCTCAGCTCTTTATTCTTCTTCACTGTTTCTTGCAGCAATCCATACCCAAGGGCTTTTTCAAATATCAGACTGTGGTCCCAGTCTAGACAACAGGTAAAAGTTGCCAGACCTTTCTATTGTCTTGGTACCTGACATCTCGATGACATCCCATATTTTAGTCACTCTTGTGTTTTCTTGGAGAGCTACAACAACACACCACTCATAAATGCGCTCCTGAAAGTGGTGTGTGCTATGTGACAGGCCTTGGAGAAGGTGCAGCCAGCTGAGTCACCTGCTGAGTAGTACAAGTATCTAACAGACTTCAGCTAAAATTAACAGACACCAGTAAAACTATACTCAAGGAACCCTGAAAAAGTAAAGGCATCTCTGTGAAATTACCCAGCGGGCTTTGGTAAAAGCAAACAAATGTTGGTGAAATTACCCAACGGACTTCATAAAAACTAACTGGGTAGCGCTACTGAAGCTGGTGGTGCTGATACACCTTCGACTCCACTGAAGGTTGCCTCCCTTTGTTCCTACTACAGTATCAGTTAGGGAGACATCGCACTAAGGTGGAAACTGGTACAGAAGCAGAGTGGTTTGGGAACATGGTACTACTGTTAGAGAAGTCATGTAACCTCTTACACGGACCATGCTCACTGTTCCTGATTTCTGTTGGACAATGATTATGCTGGGTAGTTTTGCCTGCGCTTTAACAGTACTTCTGTAATACTGGGAAAACTTCTTCCAGACCAGTTACAAACCACTGCAGGCTCAGAAAGGTCATCTCTAAGCCTCAGTCTGAAAACAGAAGTTTTGTATAGTTTCAGCGCAACAGCAATACAACAGCAATAGTTACCTTGTACCACACCACATCCGGCTCTTTACTGGCTGCTTTGTAATCCTCAATATCAGGACAAGAGATTGTCTTTCTCTTAGTGACTTCTGATTTTTCCAGATATCTGATCTTGCTGTTGTAGCACAGCCCAGATTCATTCTCAGCTACCGTCAAGGACATGGACACCTTCATGCAATATGTTGAGTTTCTGCAAGGACAAAAAGATATTTTCAGTTATTCTACCTCCTTTTTACCATGCTTGTTTCAGCACTGTAAGCTCTTTGTTAAGCTCTCCGTTTCCCAAGCACTTCTGCTGCACGCTCAAATAGTGACTGTCATGCTGTGCATTTCCAACATGTGGGAATTATGAGAAAATGTAGACTCATTTCTGATTTGATAATGAAGAACTGTGTAGAAAGTTTGTTGATACATGATGTAACCCAGAACAGCAGGTCTTTTGAGCTTTCAAATCTATGAACAGGAACCTGTTGGCATCTTAAAGGCTGGTCAGGATACACTGCCCCATTTCCTCTGTCATACGCACTCCTCCTCTACCTCTTTCTTTCCCACCTTAATATTTCACTCCAGTACACGGTGCTATACATTTGAGAAGAAGGGTTATGTGCCGGATGTTAAACCACATGCTGCAGAAAGAATTCCTCCCCCAGAAGAAATTTCTATATAAAATCCTATAGCATATGATACTGTGGTGGGTCGACCTGGACCAGCTGCAGCCACCCACCCAGCTGCTCCCTCACTCCCCCTCAGCAGGATGGGAAGGAGGAGGTAACATGAAAAAGCTTATGGGTCAAGATAAAGAGATCACTTACCAATTACTGTCATGGGCAAAACAGACTTGGAAAAAAACTATTTTAATTAATTACAAATTAAAATAGGCTTGGTTGTGACAAAGACAAAACAACTAAACCACATTCCCCTCGCCTCCTTTTTTACTCCTCTACCTGTCCCTCCTTCCAAGTAGTGCAGGGGTGGCGAATAGTGGGATGTGGCGTGTCCACAACGGCTCCTCTCCACCACTCCGTCCTCCCAGCTCCAGCACGGCTGCAGTTCCTGTCAGGAACACCAGCTCCCCCGGGTCCCTCCACGGCCCTGGGGCTGTTCCTCTTCCCTCACTCCCGACACTGCCCTGCTCTTTCCTGAACTCACCTTCCCGAGGCTCCCTCAGCCCCGCTGAGGGGCTCAGCGCTGCCCGCTGTGTAGCGGCTGGAACCGGCAGGAACCGGCTGTAACTGGCAGCGCCCAGCCCGGGGCCACCCCTCAGCCCTGCCACCGGTGCTCCCAGCGCCTGCCCTCTAAGCGGTTACACAGGTCAGACTGGAGGTAATATGGCTACATGTTGGCCTTAGAATCTTGAAACATGTAACCCCCAGCACTTCAAACCATGCCTGCTCTACGGCCAAAGAACCCGGTCAAGCCCAGGTGAGCGCAGTGCGATCTACAACTGGTTTTAATTTAGTGTAGAATAAACACGACTAGCCCAGCTTCCACTCCTGACAATCACGAATACAGGAATAAATTGACTTCCTTCAGGCTTGCAACTTTATCAGAGCTATGAGACACACAATAAAAACCCCCAAACTGGTGTCTGCCGTGGTTGCTGTGAAGCATCTTGTACTTTACACAGGATCGTTGCAAGCCAGGCTGTCAGCCTCTGCCCTTCATAAGGTGCAATGGGAAGCTACAAAGTACAAGCAACAACATAATGAGGCCCTTCCTCCCACCATGCATCATTTTGTCATTTTAATTGACTGCCCTACAACCAAAAAAGCCTGGAGTGAACCCAAGGGTGCTGGGTAGTTGAAGGGCAATGTGGAGAGCTCGGGCAGGAGGTACTGCCGCTGCCTCTTCCTTCGCAGCCTTGCCACAAACCGGTTTAGCTGAGGCAAGAGGTGGCACAGCAGACAAAAAGTGCCCTGTGCACCTGGAAAGTGATCCATCAGTCAAACCCTGACACTAATGATCCCGGCTGCTTCCCCCCTCCAATTAGAATCAAGACTATGCTTTTAATTTAAATGAAAAATAATAATAACAGAAAAATCCAACATGCCCCATAACAAATCTTTTCTTGTGGAATGTTTAAACATGTCACTCTGTCAAGTAAGCCTGTAGTTGGGAAGAAAATAAAGATCCATAGGGACACTTTATCACGACTCTAAGCTTCATGCTAAACAAGCACTGACAAAACTGTGCAAATGGCTCCCTGTCAAAGGAGTGTGCCACAAGCAGGTATTTGCAGAAAGAGGTATTTGCAAGGCAAATCAACAGGCAATCTTCAGAACACTCCCATTTTCAGCATCATTAGTGTTAAATATTCAGCAGAACCACACACTTCCCCATCCTTACCCCCTTCTGTTAAATATGTCACCTGTAAATTTATGTAATAAAGTGGGTGGATATTTTCTCTGTCCCTTACCTCAGAGTGGAAAGGCTGCTCACCCTGCACATTGCCATGATGTCTTTCACTTCAGAGGCTATAACAAAATCTCATCCACACAAACTGCACAGAATGTATTATTTTACATGAAACAAAAATTCTCTGGACTGCAAAAAAAACACATAATTTGGGGTAGGCATTTCAGAAATACTTACATGATTTAGTGAGCAGAAGTCCACTCTCCCAAACTACTTGCTTTTGAAAGGGGTTACTTTCTTTGTAGGAAGAAAATAAAACATATTCAGAAAGTTTCAATGCTTCCTAATACAGCACTGAAAATCCACAAAATATGGATACATCCACCGAGTATTATCAATAGTAATTAATTAGTAATGATTCTTAGCTTTCCTGAATAACTACAAGTATTACTGAGTGCAATTAAGGTCATATGTGCTCAGTAATAATGACCTAGGCTAATCAAGACTGACTTTGAATAGTTGTCCATTGGTGTTATTTAATAGTGTTGCATTTTCTTCTAACAATCTTGCATTATTTAGATTGTATTTTGAAAAGCCCTGGAGGCTACTTCTATTTAAAATGCTTCCTGGAACCGTGACCTAAAAATGTAGTACTCTTTTCATTAGTTACAATTAGAATTGAGTAGAATTGAGAAAACTAAGTGCCTGGTGAGTACTATCACTTTTGTTCACACTCCATGACCTAGACAATAAATCTATTCAGGCTCATGATGAAGGAAGCCCTCACTAAGTCAACAGCAACAGACTTGAAAGCTTTATGAATGCTGCACCAGCCACTCAAGTTAGTGCTACTGCTGGTAATTCAGAAAAGGGCAACTTTTGCAGGAATTCCAGTGAATGAAGCAGCAGCCTTCCTTTAATCTAGTCAGTTTGGGATAACAGTTATATTTCACTCATGAGCAAAAGGAAACACCAGTTTGATCAGCCTCATTGTTCTTCTCAATTTTGAGGCAGAATTCTGGGAGGCAAAGAAAAGAAAGAATTACTTGATAGTACAAAGAAAATAAAATTGCCTATGTTTTCACACTGAAACTAAGATCTGTAATTCCCTATGTCAAGGGAATAGTTATAAACCAGGCCTACTCTCTCGACTGGAAATGTGAAGACAAGTTTAGCTTTGCCAGAGTTCACAAAGCAGTTTCTTTTGCTCTTTGTAATCCCAGGCTACCTGGAATTGGCTCAGAACCACAAACTGAAGCCAGCTTAGAATCCAATAGAAAACCACAGGGAAAACCAAGGGAGTTTAGCAGGTCTCAAAACAAAAGCAAAGCAAACTGTGAGTTTGGCTTGACTTCGAAGCCAGGACAAGAGGGAAAAGGGGAGGATATAAATAAATGAATAAGAAGGACATTTGAAATTGAAGTGCCATCCCTACATAATTTTTCATCTTGTTTTGGATTCAAGACAGTTCATCAGCCCTAAGGCTGAATTCAAATTAGAGGAAATATTCACAACTTTGGAAAAAAACTCCTTTGGCATGTGTGTTTCTGCTAAGTGAGGGTTGTTTGTTAAAAGAGTCAAATAAAACAATTTTATTTTGTCTCTAGTAATCACAGACCCTTTCCCCCTTTGTTGATTTTCTCATGAAGAGGAAAGAAGCAGCAAAGTGGGTTAGTATTTTATATTGAGTAGATAAAATAAAACAACCCCCCCCAACCCATAAACTAACCCATATTTTAATTGCATATTTATACAAGAGGACTTTTCTTTTTCCCCTTGCAGGCTCATTTTTTATTCAGTGTTGGGGTTTTTATTACATTCTAAGACTTCGGAGGTAGATCCAAAAGCTAGGAAGTATATTTATCAAAGCAATGCTCAAGGAACAGAACAACTCAGACTTCTCCCAACATACCTAAACGCTCTGGCTGTTCTAATGACATTTTCATTGGCTCGCTGAAGTACTAATTGCAGGACTGTATAAGTCAACCTGTATTCCTCTTCGCTTATTCCAAGTTAAAGCAGTAACAGCAATAACTACACCATCAACCGTCTTTGCTGATCTGAAGGGCCACAGCAATTAATGCTCTACCAGATCTACTACCAACTGCTATAATAAAGTGCTATGTTATCAGCTTTCAGACTTAAGTATTTGATTGCTTTCCTCTCTCTTCATGAGAATTTTATAAATGTATTCCTAAATTTTACATTTCACATAATGGTTACCAAGCACTTCCATTGTTATCTAAGCGTGCTTTGTTCAGATCAAATAAGTCATTGTTTGGTGATCTGCTTAAAGAAAAATGAGTTATTTATTAGAATTGTTTTTTTTTCAGATCACACAAATCTAGCATCCTCCCTAAAACAAATGGATTATTACTTGCTCTTTCAAGTGTTAGCTTATTTCTTGTGGACTACCACTGCTGCATGTTAGGGGTCATTATCTGGAAAAGATTAATTTCCCACTTAGGTGTTAATCACTCTCAGATGTGACAAATCACAGATCCTTCAAAGTTTTCTTTTTTTTTCCTTTTTAATTTGTCAAGTGAGAGAGCAATGCCTGAAGAGGAACACTTCAATAGATGGCTGGCACTGCTGCAGCTGCTCCCTGATCCATAAGCCAAAAGGTGCAGTGATTTTGTGGCTTGTCTGTGTGGGCCTTGGCACAATTCCAAACATTCCTGTCTTGTATTTTGCTTGCTTGTTGGTGTTATAACTGTAATTCTAATACCAACTCCTATGCATGATAAAGAGAAATCCTAATTCCATGTTACCCCTTCTTCAATGTTTGACTCATTCTCAAGATTCTACTAACAAAAGAAAAAAATATCATGGAAG